AATGGCAATAAATCTTAATATGGTTCTAATCTAGATTCTGCTTATACATAAATAATGTTCAACATTCTTACAATTGATGGAGCCAGTTTTGCTTAAAAGTATCAGTTAGCCGAGCTTTAAAAAGTGGATGAAATTTACCTAGATCAACACAGGATGGGTTGTTCCAAACATGAAAAACAATAGCAGTCCAAATAACTTGATATGCCCAGTTAATTTTGATAACATTACATTTACACAAATCATATAATCTGTTAAATAATATGTTTGTAGACGATACAATTTTACATCAGAATTTAATAATGCGTACATATCTGTTAATGTAAAGCGGATAGCGCCCTAATTCAACATACACACCCATATTTGCACTGCAAGATTTATCTTTTAATAACATTTAATAGCAAAAAGATTTGTTAAAAATGTCAAAAGTTGGCTTACTTTTTAAGTATTTTATTTTCGAAATATAATATTTCATTAGAATGCCGATATATAAATAACTTTAAGTTCTCTGTTTCTTTATTAAATTTAAAATCAATTTAGATTAATATAATAATTCAGTGTAAGTTTTACAATTAACTTTGAAATATTATACATGTATTACATTCTAAGTGCTTCCGTATTATGACAACAAATAAATTCGCAGAAATCAAGTCTTTCTTTTTACATTTCGTTACAGAAAATCAGGAACTTACGCGTCTGCAAAATCCTTTTTGATCCAGTATCTGAGGCTCTGAAGCTGCCCTGAACAAACACGAAAAAAACTATTATCAAGCTGCTCTGAAGAAACATGGAAAATACTTAAATCTTATTTGTGTTCTTAAGTAGCCGAAGGTAGAGGGTTTTTTTTATGATATTTCTTGTAATTTATAATTTTTAACACTTCTAGCGGCAACTATAATTATGACGGCTATGAGTAATCGGTCAGACTTATAACAAAACTGGCAGCTAGTGTTATTACCAGTCACTTTTTTCTTAATTTTAATTTCCCATAGGCCTCTGGGAGTTATTCTTACTGTTAATGCAAGTGAACCACGTGACTAAAATTTGTACTGTTAAATGGTAACACTTTTTAACAGTATAAAATCTAGTCACGTGGTCTATTTTCTAAATGAAATAAATTAAAATGGCTGCCAATTTTCTCGATTCATTCGTTTTTTCGAAGTTCATCACGAGAGTGCATCACTAGAGAAAGTATGACACCCATAAAATTTAGTTGTTTGCACCGTGGAGTGCTTATCATCGCGTATAAAATATCTTTTTGTTGAATAGTCAAAAAGTAAACATCCATTTTCATCCGAAGTAATTGCGATGTGAATAATCATTTATTACCCCTCACTTTTTTCGTAATGTCAATTTCCCATAGGCCTCTGGGAGTTATTCTTACTGTTAATGCAAGTGTACCACGTGACTAAGAATTTTGTACTGTAACATAGGTAACAGTATTTTTTAACACTATAAAATCTGTCTATTTTCTAAATAAAATGAAATAAAATGGCCGCCAATTTTTCTCTCGATTCATTCTTATTTTCGACGATAAGGCCTAGGGCATCACCTAAGTAACTATGACTTTCATAAAATTTAGTTCTTTGCACCCTACTGTAGAGTTCTTTTCGCGTATAAAATATCTTTTTGTTGAATAGTCAAAAAGTAAACATCTGTTTTCAACGGAAGTAATTGCAATGTGAATAATTATGTGTCAAACTGGAACATGCAGACGATTAAAGCGTACAACAAAGGATAATTTAACAATTTTAACCAGTGAAACGTTACAGATAGAGTTGGTGGACAGACATCTGTAGGATATCACCGTTATTTTGTAAATGCACTTTGTCAAAAACCATGCGATACGGAAGGATCAGATTTCACAGATCATAACCTTATAAATGGGTTAGTGTTTTGTTTTCTAAATAAAACACAGCTTATTGTATGTTTATGACTGATAGATAGCATCACTTGCTTAAAGAATAAAAGAAAAACAGCTTTTCAAGTAGGCCTACAGTACACTTAAAACTTGCAAGGTAAGGACAGTTTAGTTATTGCTACTCTTGGTTTATTTTTGTTACAGTAAGATTTAGTTTACAATTTCAGATCATCACAGTATTTGTTCGGGGTAATAAATTAAATAACACATGGGTTTGTGTGTAACAGTAAAAATATCATCCCTCGTAAAAAACAGTATTTTCCTCGGGATGATATTTTTACTGTTACCCACAGACCCATGTGTTATTTATATAGTGTTATGTGGTTAATATTTTTTGTACGTTTTTGTTTTTTTGTAAAATGTTGTTGTAGGTTTTAGTTATATTTTTTTTTAGTACAGGAATGACATATTTTGAATGAGATGGTTTATTTGCAACATACGAGTAATAGGAAGTTTGAGTTGTTGACGTGACATTTTGTTTGTTGTTTGATGTTTTTTGAAAAAGATGTTGACTTACAATTGCTAGAATCATGTATCGTGGAAGAAATGATATAATGAAGGGCGATCGTCGTATATAACAAAAGCTCTGGCCCACAATATGTTGGGCTACAAAATGACCAGCACAGCTTAGCTCGAAAAAATATTTGAAACTGTACATTTTTCATCATTCAGAAGCTGTTGCATGTTCACCATCAGTAACAGTGTCAATGAAATATTATTTTCTTCCTCTGAGAGTTAATCCTGAAAGAATTCATCATCTCCTCCTATTATATTGAAATTTAATTCGTCCACCATGACCAGTCTATGTTCTAACACCCGCAGGTTGTTGAAGTAAAATATCATCGTCCTTTTGGGTACTAAGTCACATGAAATGAATAAATGGATCGACAAAAAGGAGGCGTAGTGAACTATAAATATAGATCTAATTTGACGTCCTTGTAGATTCAGTATTTTAATTCTGATTTGATTTGATTTTACAAATTGCTGGCCATGCTTTTCCTGTTTTCAAGAATAAACACACTAGTATTTCCATTTCAATCGACATGACTGGGTCAATAATTTGGTTATGTAGCCCGCTTTTGGCGGAAGGTCTCTTAATTCTTCGAGACCCTTTTGGCGAAAATCAAACATATAATTATAGGTGTCGAAGCAAAAGCTATTTTACAATATAAATGTTTTACATATATTTTATTTTATAAAAAAAGTTCAAATTCTTTTATCTGTATGTCATTTAATGACCAGTCGTGACAGAAATTTTATGCCAAGTATAAATAATGGTAATTAAACATGTGTCATATTTATTATTATTTGTTCTTTGTAAGTTTAAAAGTAAATAGAAAATAAAAAGAAAATATACTTTAGTAATTTTTTTCTTCCGACAGTACGCTGTCGTCCAGAACCTAAATATTTGATATGTACCATAAAATTATGCTCCACTGAAAGTTGTATAAATTAAATCCCTAGAATAAAAATGGCGTCCCGCCCTTGTGGTACATTACCTTATTTTACAAATACTTATATAGGAAAACACATTTAAATTTCTTGCGCGAAACCACATGGCAAAGAACTTAGATTTTGCATGTAGCAATGCCTGGTCGGCACCTACAAAAGTGATAAAAATCATGGCCCTATGGTAAAATATTGCTCTGCCCTGGTGTCACTTAGTCACTTAGTTTTCATAGATGTATCTACATTGAATTGTTAAATCTGGCATTGCTATTATGTGAATCGATCACCCACTACTACATTAATTGAGTTAAAACGTTTTCTAGCAACAAAACTCATGTGAACAATTTTGGTCATAATGGCATTCTTGTTTGTGATTGCTATTATTGAGCATAGGGTAAAGGTTGGTCTACCTTTTTACAATCAGCTAAAATTTGTTGTTTGAAAGCCTTTAGTCTTAAATAAGCTTAAGATAGCTATAAGCTATAACAATAAACATTCTAATTACTTTGCTGACAATCTTTGCCAAAATCTTAGACAGTCAAATTGCGAAATGTATTTAGTAAAAAAATTACATAAGCATTGAAACAGTGCACCATGATGATCATACTTCTCTGTGTGATGAATTTTAATTTATGTACTTATCAGTTAGTCGAGTATGTTTATTAAATCAATCATTTCCGAAGTCAATTAAAAACTGATTATGCAAATGTCTTCTTGGTGCACCGACAAATATAATATAGTACAGGTGTTTAAAAAGCTTTTTAATGTATTTTTTACATTTAGTCTTTCAATTATTTCTTTCAAATAAAAAATTAAAAGAACTTCATGCAGCAGATGTCTATTTTTTGTATTTATAAAAACACCATTGGATAATAAATTTGAAAACAGAAACTTGATTTATAGTTTAAAATCCAGTTAAAATCTTTGTAGCAGGCCTCATTTAACAACGGGAGTCCTTAACAAAATCTGTTTGATAGAGAAACAGATGCCAGTAAACTATTTGAGGAAATTATATACATTTACTTATTTGTTTACTGTTTAAAAGTATTGTACATCCTATATAAAACAATGACTGTAGCTTGACTTACATGATATTGTTGAGTCGGTTATAAATTATAAAGTAATATTGTTACAAGTAAAATGATTTCCTGCGGGGAACATTTATAATGATTTAAAGATATTTCATTTAACTATTTTCAACATTGTTTGGGGAAAAATAGAAAAAAAAATAACGTTTGTATCAGGAATATAGTTGACAATAATCGACCAATTCTTGGTCGAAAATAAAACAATACCATTGTATGAATAATTCCGTGCAAAAAAATAATATGATAAAATGAAATAAAGTAAACACACAAGTTTTCGCAGAAAATATCCATTATGGCAGATGCCACAATTCTGTGGATTTTCACTATAAACAATTTATTGTTTGTAAAATTTCAGATAGATATTAAAGAAACATTGATAATTTTCAAACACATCATGCAAGTTTTTCCACCTTAAACGGTAAAATTATAATAGATATTAGAAATATCACGTAGTAGTGTTATGTTCTTAATTAGGTGTAATTCGGACTAATTCCCTAGCATTGTGTACACCGGTCATTTGAGAGACCGGTGTGTGTATATGGTCTCAACCCGGTACGGAATTAGACCCAACCCGTTGTAGTCTAGAAAGTAGTTCTTTAAAATTTTGAAGTGGCCCAATTTAAGTCATCCCTAGTTAGATTGGTCATAATTAAAGTGTATTTATTGCATGTGTGTAGTTTTTGTGTGTTATATGATGTGTTTAAAAGTTGTTTTTTGTGTATTCTCCAGGAACTCATTTGTTGGCGGAAGGATTAAAGATGTACCACCCACCAGCAGTCAGGAGTTTTCAAAGTGGTGAATTTAAACTGTGTTAATACAGAGTGAAGATTTCTGAAAAAAGTAGATGGCTAACCTATTATATTTTGGGCCTCATTTGACTTAAATAGTGCTGATGTTTAAAGTTGAAGACAGTATATAATTCATCAAGAACAGTGGAATCCAGAATTAAGCCTCAAATGTGACTGATTTACTATAGAACAAAGAACACGAAAATTCACCAGGCCGTCACCAAGAGGAGAAATTTGAAAAATGGGAACTGGTTGATGGATATGGATGAAACTTTGCATCAGTGTTGTGTTTATGCATAGAAATCAGGAAAATAAAGGATAACTGACAGGTTTGAGAATTTTAAATTTTATTTCAAATTTTTAATTTTGACATTTTAAATTGGGACAGATGTTGTTATTGTTATCTCCCCTTCAAATGTAGATGTCTGCTACTGTGTCAGTAGGTGCAGAAGAAGGGAACAGACCTTTTGCATGAACGATTAACCACATTTTATTGAATTAAAACTGTAAAAATACATTTAAAATTAAAAAAATGAAATTTAAATTTTGTTTAAAGCAGTTAATAAATTGATAAATTTTATTTTTGCACCCTGTATTTAGCAGTTTACTAGATCTATAGCTTATTTTTATAACATTCATATGGAAAATGATAATTTTTAGAGAAATGCATCTTAAATTATGGATAAACCATGCATTGCAAGAAATTGGGGAGTGCATGTTTTCAGGCTGGTTACTGTTTGGCAAAAAAAGTGATTGGCAAGCTCATTTTAGAGGTCTTAGGGGCCCAAGAAGCACCGGCCATGGTATTCGAACAAGCACCATAGTAACCTATTGCTCATATGGACCACGCATTATATGCACTGATGTTTCAGCAAAGTATTGATGCTGTAGTAATCAGATTGTAAATATTCACTATTGTCTTGTATTTCAATGAAGCAGAACTGACAATTGAACAGCTAGGACAAATGTGATTTACATGTTGGAAATATAGGCATTTTCAGTGTAGTGAAACTTGATGTTTTGCTGTGCTGCAGAATGTATTTGCTAATACATACACACAAAAGATTTTCTAGTCATAAAACAGTGAGTTTATGGATAATTGGCTCATTTAGAATAACACAGTTGATGTGATTGTTGTTGTTGTTGTTGTAGCAGCTGCTACAGCAGTTAAATTAGGTTAGGTTTATAATGTCTAAACTGTTATTTCCATGCAGGCATGCATTTTCAAGCACACAATATTTAAGCCTTCCTGTGTGAATTAGCAAATCAAGCCATTGATTAATTAAGAAATTATTTTCTTTCTTTTTTGGATATCAGAATAACAGCATAAATGCCTCTTATAATTTCCTTCAACATGTACTAGTGTTGCATATTTTTTCAGACCATGCAGTTACCAAAGCCGGGGTTTGAGTACAGGACCTTACCTTATACTGGTTAAGATCTATGGAAGAACTCTTTCAGCTCAGTTTGGCAACAGATTTGTCAGGACAAGTTGAGAAGGTAATAACTTATGTCTAGTTTGAAACTTCAGCTATTGACGGCAACGACTCCCAATGCTCGGGCAATATTTGGTAGATATTTTGATGTATATCAGGAGAAAATTTCTCTAATTTTGACTACTTTAACACTTCTCAATGATTTAAAGTGGGAGACAGTATGTGCCATCATTTTTTAGCTTTATTTGTGTGAGAGTTGGCTAATCTTACTTTGTCAGAAGACATAGCCCATGGCGATATAGTAACCTCTTTGCTAAACTTAAGATTACCTCTGTTTGTCTTTATTAATATCTTAAGCAAACAATATAGGGTATATATCTTGGTACTGTACTTTATTTACCATGGTATATAGGTAAAAATCATAATCAGTAAGTTTTATTGCAATGTTGAAGGAAAAAGTTATGAAAAAAGCACATTTAATTGTGATTACTTGTATTTTAACCCAAAATTTCATGCTCTCATTAAAATAAAATGGAGTTAACATTACAATTTTAAAGCAATAGGGGCTTATTCTTTCATAAAAATAACTAAATGACATTAGCCGGTTACATCAAACTTTATTTGAAGAAACTCCATTGGCAAAATCAAGAGATATGACAGAATTTGTGATATAAATTTTTGTGTAAAATTCTATTGGCCGAGGCTGATTTTTCGCATGAATTTTTATATTTAAGAAATTGTACTGCATTAATGTAATTTGTTAGAGACATGTCAAACCTATATGAATGTACTTGTATAACACTAAATTACTAGGAAATGAGTATAAAGTTTGGCTTAACTTAAATTTTGGATTCATTTAGGTCTCAACCCGGTACGGAATTAGACCCAACCCGTTGTAGTCTAGAAAGTAGTTCTTTAAAATTTTGAAGTGGCCCAATTTAAGTCATCCCTAGTTAGATTGGTCATAATTAAAGTGTATTTATTGCATGTGTGTAGTTTTTGTGTGTTATATGATGTTTTTAAAAGTTGTTTTTTGTGTATTCTCCAGGAACTCATTTGTTGGCGGAAGGATTAAAGATGTACCACCCACCAGCAGTCAGGAGTTTTCAAAGTGGTGAATTTATACTGTGTTAATACAGAGTGAAGATTTCTGAAAAAAGTAGATGGCTAACCTATTATATTTTGGGCCTCATTTGACTTAAATAGTGCTGATGTTTAAAGTTGAAGACAGTATATAATTCATCAAGAACAGTGGAATCCAGAATTAAGCCTCAAATGTGACTGATTTACTATAGAACAAAGAACACGAAAATTTACCAGGCCGTCACCATATACAATGATTCCCTAGTGGTAAATCCGTAACGTACCGGGAAACGGTATTTAGCTAGGTTTTTGAATAGGTCAATTAACCAATCATGTACGGTTTACAAATCACATGCTCCTCCATGTACCGAAAACAGGTCACGTGCTCCTCCATGCCTCAAAAATTAAACGCGTACTAATACCCTGCGGGCTCCGGCCCGCAGGGAATAACAGAACACGTGCCAATTTTAATACTCAGACTGGTTTTTAACTGTTCTAGCGGCAACTATAAATTGTCAATCTGGCTCATTGCAGTGATTATGACGGCTATGAGTAATCAGTCAGACTTATAACAAAACTGGCAGCTATTTTAAGTTCTGCGCGTTACGTAGTATAGCCGAAGAACGTATGTCTCAACGTTATGTCGCACATAAACTAGTGCGCGGATCACTGATGCGTATAACACGTGATCAGTGATTGGTCATGTGGTTTTAGGCGGAAATCAGTTCTACGCTCGGTTTCGATTGTGAAGGACAATTTTGAGCAGCCATGAATAGAGCGGAGATGTCGGGGTTTATTGAGGAGAAAGTTAAAGAGGTTGTAAAAGCAAACAACGAGGAGCTTCTGGGAAGCATAAGTAACATGCTTTGGAAGATAAGTGACAAACCTTCTTCTGCTATTTCAATTTTGAACGTGCCAAAATTTAAACGTAAAAGTAACGAATAGCAATTTAAACTTAATGCAAAGGTTATTGACAAAGTAGCAGTCGCTCAAGCAGCCGTAGAAACACAGGATTTATCGTCTGCTAAAGATTCTATTATTCAAGGTAAATTGAAAATATTTTGATAACAAACGAAAAATGTCACGTGCATTCAGTGTTTCCCGTTAGAGGTCAAAACAGGTATATTTCAAAGATAGTCATTTAGTCTATACAGATAACGCCTTATTTGTCGGGAGTCTACCGGTTCATGTTTCGCCCGTGTTTTATATTGGTAGGCAGGATTATTTTATTGTTAGTTTTTTGACACATGTGTGTAAATATTTCAGCATGGGAGTTATTGAAAAGGCGGCAAAAACTGGTGTTGCTTGCTGACACTTCAGATTTGGGCTGGAAAACGGTGAACGAATACGAAACCAACCCTATCGCGAGTGACAGCGATGATGAGAGGCGGATTTTCAAGGCTGAGGCACGTGCTAGCAGGAAGGCTAAAGCAGACAAAACAAAAAAGGCGAGAAAAAGCAGCTGGCCGTAAAGACGTCCGGAGACTCCAGGATCGTCATCACAGACTCAACAGGGCACAAGACAAAGGCCAGGTATGTGTTTCTTGTGTGGCAAAGCCGGTCACTGGAAAAACGAATGTGCACAGAACAGTTCTTATCAGAACAATAAGTTAAGTACTTATAATTTTGATATTTTAGAGACTTTACAGTCAGTCTTAGGCACAGACGAGCATGTAGATATGGCATGTTTGGGAAGGATGGAAGTAAGTAAAATGATTCATGTATGGGTGCTCAAGTAAATAATTGAGAAAACGTATTGGGGTCAAAGGGTAAAGATAATCCTATTTCCCCAGTTGGCAGGTTAAAGCAGAATTTTAGTAAATGGTAAAATGTGTCTAAAATGTATTTACTTTGAACGTTGTTAAAATGGCTACAAATTCCCGTTTAGTTATATGCCACAGAAAGTGAAAAACAACAAATCGGCAAGGGCAAACGCATGTTTTGTTAAATCTGAGATAAAGTCTCTTTTAGAAAAAAGTGTGATCTCTGAGGTAACAGAGAGGCCCTATGTTATAAACCCATTAACAGTGGCTTACAATAAAGTGGGTAAACCTAGGTTAGTGTTAGATTGCAGACATATTAATCCTTGCTTACATAAATTTAAGATAAAATTTGAGGACATAAACACTGCAGAAAATATGTTTGACCTCAATACATTTGTTTACTCTTTCGATTTAAAGAGTGCTTACCATCACATAGATATTTTTCCGGAACATTCTAAATATTTAGGTTTTTGTTATATTGAAAATGGGATTGAAAAATATTATGTATATAACTCATTGCCATTCGGAATATCCACCGCCGGGCATATATTTACAAAAACACTTCGGGTTATCATTAAATATTGGAGATCTTTGGGTCATAAAGTTATCATGTTTTAAGATGATGGAGTAGGTGGTCTAGTAATTTTGTGCGAAGTTCTTTGCTCGAATTCGGGTTTTTGCTTGCTGATAACAAGTGTTGTTGGTCTCCATCTAGATTAGTGTCTTGGTTGGGTCATACAATTGATTATAACACAAATTGTATGTTTATTACAGAAGAAAGAATTGCTCGTTTAGAATTGTCATTAAAATCAGCCATTTTTCAATTATCAAGAGATAATTAAGAACATGTTAAGTGTTTAGCTGCCGTTGTAGGGCAAATAATTTCTCTTCAAAGCGTTGTAGGAAAGATAGTCTGTCGGAGAACCAGGTATCTATACAAGTGTATTATAGCACGTGCAAGTTGGAATGCTTCTGTTAAGGTAAGCGAGAAAGCTTTAAATGAGCTGCATTTTTGGCTAGATAATGCACGTATTTTGAATACAAAGGGTAAGCACATAAAGAACTGTTTTACATCTAGTTTGAGTATGACAACCGATGCAAGCTCCGACGGATACGGAGGTTATATATCAAAAGAAAATCGTTCAGTTCTTGAAAATGAGAATGCAAAGGGTTCATATATTCTTACTAATCATGAAAGTGTTGCACCTTTTTGTAAAAGATATCTGGAAGAAAATCCAGGCTATAGTTTTGAACGCATTTTACGGTTCCCATCGGATGTGGATGTGATTGAAATGGTAGCTCCGGGATGTGAGCAAGATTATCAGGATTGTTTACAGAAAAGTACTCCCGGCACTGTTGTTCCCGGAAGCGACGACCGTATTCAATACGGGTGGTTGTTGTAGATTGAATGGTTCGAATGTACACGGTTCTTGGACCGAAATTGAAAAGCAAAAAAGTTCTTGACGTAAACTTGAGGCTATTCATAGAGTGTTGAGAAGCAATTTGCAAATTTTGCACAAAGATAACGTAGTATTTTACACAGACAATATGAATGTCAAGTTTATTTTGAATAAGGGCAGCTTCATTGATAATTTACATGAAATTTGTTTAAAAATACACGATGTTTGCGATTCGAATGGCATATTTTTTACAGTAATATGGATACCAAGAAGCGGCAATGAAGAAGCTGACTATCTTAGCAGATGTTTTGATAGCGATGACTGGTTTGTGTTAAAAGATGTATTTAGATATTCAAATGTAAAATGGGATCCATTTACTATTGATGGGTTTGGTTTTCTACACTTTACAATAACAATTGTAAAATGTTTAATTCTAGATGGTGGGTACAAGGTACGGAAGCAGTTTAACACAAAATTGGTCTAACGACAACAATTGGTTAGTTCCACCGCCTAGTATGGTTATCCAGTGTATAGATAAGTTAGAAAAGGAAAAATGTTGTAGCGCCGATATACATGTATGCCTAAACGTCGAAAAATGTCCAAACGACGATAAATGTCCAAAAATTGACGATAAATGTCTCAATCGCCGATAAATGTCCAAAACTCCTTTAACGATAAATGTCCAAAAATTAACGAAAAATGACGCAACAAATTAGGTGCTCATAAATGTCCAAATCGGTCAACGATAAATGTCTCAACTTTTCATATGTTAATTTGTAATTTATTGTATTGGATACTGTAACAGTCTATCCAACTAACCCGTGATTTTACCCTCTGGTTTACCCCCGACGTAAGTCCG